TAAAAATATACACTAAACTAATGGGATTACTGCATAAGAAAAGTTTATATTTATGGGTTGCAAATACAAATGTTAGGAACACTGAGCTCTTGGGCCTGTCTTGCAGTAATGGGGGACAAGAAGCAACTGAGGGACTCTTAACCAAGCTTCACCTTTTATAATCTTGGCATTGGCCAAAGGGCAGTGCTAAGCCAAAGATCCTCATCTTGAGTGCAAGCTGTTCATGTTCATTAAGAGTGGAAGAGACAATAATTGCAAGAAAAAAAACACATTTTCTAAATGTTGCAAGTTGCAGCTGAGAATCCAAGTTATATTTTAAAAGCTCAATGTCTTCTTTCTACGTTTTGGCAAGGACTGTGCTGTTCTGTTATCCCATCCTGACAACATCCTGTGGTATGAGCACAGCGTCATAAATCCTGCACACTGATACAGCTTAAATTGGCATCCTGGTAAACAGTGAATGTGTGTATTGCCAGGAAACAGACTCAATGTAGTACACTGCAATGAATCCAAACAATTAACGCATGACATCCAGTCCATTGAATGTTCTGCCTGCTGTTGTCTGCATGCCCCTTCACATTATTTACAGATGTCAATTAACATTTGGTAGCAGGCACTTTTTGCTCTTTGGCCCTCTGCTTACTTTATGTTGATTTCCTGATCAATTACTGCTAAATGGGTTTCTCTCATTTGTAGCAGAGTGGACAGCACTTACTTTTAAAGCAATAAATAAAATACAAGAGAATCTCTCTGTACACGATACCTTCCTAAAAGCAACTGCTAATTATTATATATCAGAACTGTCCAACTGACAGCTTAAATTGCAACTTTTACTCTGCTACTGCTCCCCTCATTGCTCTGGCTGCAACAACAGCAGCTGGGTGCTCTAGGCTCCTTCTCCCTCTGGCTTCCATTTCTGCCCCTGTCCCTGTCCCAGGAGGTGGGGCAGGGAGGTACGACCTGTAGTATGGGGCAAGTCCACAGCCCAGGATGCCTAAATGGCGTGGTGCAGCAGAAAAGCTTGTGACTGGGATGCTAAGGATAAGTTGGGGTATCTGGGCATATGGTGTGATAGTGAGGTACAGGGAGCAACAGCAGGGTCAGGGGTAGGGTGCATAGTGCAACAGGGATGTGCCCGGGTGCACAGTGCAGCAGCAGCCAGACATGCAGCTCCTGGGGCCCATGGCCCTTCCTGGTGCAGCTTCTGCTAGTGTGGCCCAAGGGGCATGCAGCCCCTGACCACTTATAAGTTAGCTCTACTTTATATAATATATATATTATATTAATATATTCCTATAAATAACTGATAAGAGTATGGATCATTAACAGGAATGCTTCTCTTTCCACAGAATTGTAATAGTGAGGAGGATTCCGCTGCATTTCCATACTCTCCTTACCATTCTTACTGTTTCCTAAGAAGTTCTCCGTATAAACTTTCTGAGTTTTTTAAGAACAAAGTATACAGCTGCTCTTTTCTATTGGAGACTGTCAACAGCAAAATCACAGTTCTAAGGTCTCTAAGTTTGCAATTTCCTAACCAAAACTGAAAGACACATCTCTGAATTCTAGCAATCTTAACTAAGCAGCATTGGCTTGCATTCTGTAAGCTTGTGAGGAGTGCACAAGACACCTGATACCCGGTCTTGCCCCTTCCCTATGCAGTCATATTCCCTATGCTTCCTCTGGAAGCAGAGATGTTCCTTATGCTTCCTCCCCATTTCATAATCTACATGCACAGTGTCCATTGGAACAGGTGGCTGTGATCGATGTGAGTGTTTGTATGTGTGCAATTGTCAGCCTTTTCCTTCCATCTGCATCTCTTGTTTCAAGCCTTTGTGTGCATGACCAAGGGAAGGGGAACAGCTCATAAAGCATGAAAGTCCCTGGAGTGCTATAACTGAGCATGAATTCTGGATATCTAGGCAATTAAGTGGTTTCTATGACTTCTAAAAAAAGGTCTGTTTTTATTTACAAAAAAGCATCTTTATTCACTTTGCCAGTGTAGCATGCACATACAGGAACTCCTCACTTATCGTCATCCCGGTTAACGTTGTTTCATTATTAGGTCGCTGATTTATTAGAGAACATACTTGTTTAAAGTCACACAATGTTTGGTTATACCATTGTCTGGCCGCCACCTGCTAGTTGGTAACTACTGTGACGTAATGATTCATGTCATTGTTTCACTTAAAGTCACATTTTTCAAGAGCATAATTATGATGTTAAGCAAGGAGTAGCTGTAGTATAAATGCTGAATCAAGATTTTTATCAAAGTATTCAGGTATTTTAAAAAATATTTCTGGAGTATGTTTTCAATCTAGTACACAACAGTACTCTCAGCGGTTCTCCCTCTACTTTTAAGTTCCATGAGGTGCCCATGATACAAGGTTCTGAGTATTTTGAACTACTTGATATTGTGCATAGTATAACATAGCCAATCATGCAAAGTGACAAATATAAATTGCTGAAAATTGGGGTTTAAATGCAAGTGGCTTAATAGTGCCTTAAAAGCAGTGACCATGAAGTTCAAAAGGTTACCTCACAGCAAGTAATAACATCTTCAGGAGAAAATGTAATGTGGAACTGGAAACAGTTTCTTGGGCCACCAGGTCCAGGTCCTTGTGTCTGCAGTCAACTGCTATTCAAGAATTCTGCAAAACTGCCAGGGAGAAATACTCCAAAAGCTTCAACTTTTGCTGGGATTCCAAACCTCCTGCACATATAGTAATTTGACATAGTCCTGTAACTTTCAGATAAAAATGAAAGATGGGTCTCTCTTAATAGCACAAGTTTAACTCCACATAATTCCAGGACAAATCTGGTAATGAGATTATTGTCTAAATGTATGCATCTCTGAGCCAGTGGCATAGTATGATACATACTTTCACTTAGGAAAATGTTCATCAAGAAGAAGGAATCAGACTGGCTAAGCTGACTAAGCCTCACTGCAATAGCCAAGGCAGGAAGTGAAATATTGGGGAGGTGCTGCCTCTAGGATTGTTGGAAAAATTCAGATGTCCTCAGCTGGTCCACAGTGGCATCAGTAAGTCAGGTATTTGGTGAGTGCTTCTCTTAGGTCCATGACTACACTTCATTTTTTGTGGAGTGGAATGTTTTAAGTGGTGATTAGCATTAGTGCTATCATGGTTGTGACAAAGAGTTCAGTTAAAGAATTACTACGGTTAATTATTTGTAGTTATTATTTGTATTCCAGTAACACCTATAATGCACAAGGCACTGTCCACCCGCACAGGAAAACATTGTCCCTCTCTGGAAGAGCTCACAATTTAAGAAAATCAGCTAAACTCTGTAACGTCCTGGCCAAGTTCTGATCTATGAAATAATATAAAGCATCAAAACTATCAAATCAGTATCTAGATAGAAGCATGATAAATCTAAGTTCAGATAAGTCATATATTTTAACTAGTACACAGTTAGAAAGGGAAGCTACAGACCTGTGCTCTATTAAGGAGGTAAAATCGTTATTCCAGCTGGGATTTTCACAGGACCCAAAAGGAACAAAGCAATTTCCTTTTGCTTCCTTCTAGTTACCCTGGAAAATCCCAGTCTACAGCAATAACATTTGGTATAATTATTGCAAGACCATAGGAAAACAAATCCTTTCCAGGAATGTGATGGCCAAAACCAAAGAAATTAATAAGCAATAAATATGTGCTTCTTAGAGGCATTTGGAACGTCTGTCTAATATAAAGCTTGTATTTTTGTAACCCGCAAATGTAACGTGTAACTGTTTGTGGAACTGACTAGGCCTCAAAGACAAAGCTATAGCTGTGAAATTAGCTAACCTAATAGTTCTTTCTTACACAGAATTTAGCCTTGATGATGATAATAACTGGATTCAACTGCCTAGCTTATCCAGCACATTCCAGGAAAGGACATCTCAAAAAGGCATAGTCAGAGAGTTCTAGAGGGGCTGGATTTAGGCGGGGTAATGTTAATTTTAAACCTGAAGATGCAGTGTTGCAATTTGCTTATTGGATAAACCCAAGTCTGGGTAGTAACCTTTTATAATAATTTTAATACCTTTTAATCCCATAGGGTAATAGCTATAAAACAAGATTGTGAATAGCCCTAGGGCCAGAAAATTAGCATAGGACTAGATATAAAAAGTGTGTGCATCAGGTGACCAACAGGAAAAAAGAGGGAACAGGATGGAAATTGCTGTTCCAAGCCCAGACTCCAGACTCCCGGTGTGAGTGAGGATCGGATCCTGCTCAAGGGACCTTCCCCAGTAATCCTTCGGACAGCATTGATCGGGGACGCCTGACTTCACTGGAATCACCTGGCGCATACCTGGCATTGAGGGACTGCTGGTAAGTTGCCAACCCATGTCCGTCTATTTGTTGTTTTAAACAGCCCAAGGGCTGATATTCTCGCAGTGCCTAGCTGGCCTGCGACAGATTGATCTATTTATCTGTTATTGTCTGTTATTATTTACTATTAGCTCTTTAATACTGCATTATCTGCTTATTGCATTTATTTCTCTGTTAACTGTTGTGTGTGTGTAAGCTATAATAAATTTGCCATTGTTTTACTCCCAACTCTGCCTCCTTGATCCCGAACCAAATAGCCGAGTGGCTAAATTGATATACTCACAGTGCCCAGCTGGCCTGTGACACAGGAATGAGGAAATAAATAGAGAGGTGGAAGCAAAAGAGAGCACATGATGTGAGCATGAACAACGTTAGATAGTTTATGGGATTTGGGATAATGCAGCTAGGAAAGTTCAGAATGATACAGGCAGCAATGAAGACAAACTATGCTCCTAGAAAGGGTGACAGTGATTGTATAGACAACAAGAGAAACATTTAGAAGCAACAGTTAATCCTTCACCTTCAGGTGGTGCAGATTAGCATTTCATTGTAAGAAATATTTTGGGGAGCCATTCCTACACTGTCAGTCTGTTTTAGTCTGTTTTATTGTCATTCAAAAGTGTCATCTCTGTCTGGATACTCTTGTCACATAAATATGCTACTTACTCCCTCATGCGTTTCAGCTTGGTCTCAGCCATGGTGTTGTTGATCACTCTGAATCCCTGGGGCACTACTGGAGCCACTCTGATGACAGTCCCAGTGCCTACAAATCAATGCAGAGATGCACAACCTTATTCACCTTTATCTCATCGGTGCTACTGCAGATTCAAGGGCAACCAGAAAAAGGGAGGCAATTCACCTTTATCACAAGGCAGGCAATGCCACAGTAATTAAAAATGAATTATTAAATGAACATTAAAATAACTCATTTCTGAAAGACAAGCAGATTTGCAGATTAAAAGTACAAGAAGTAGTGCAGTTATTTCATTTAATGTAGTTTACACAAACTTCATATAAAAAGGGCTTTCACATGGGGAGATATTTGGACAGAGAAAAATATTAAACAAAAAATGTACTTTGGATTTGTTTTTCTCTTTATTTTCTTGCATTTATTTATAGAAATAGGATCTTTTTTCCTGACCATCAGGTTTCTCTTTTGGCTTGATTAGGTGGAAAACTGGCGATGTTGTGCTCATGGCACCATTCTGCTGTAGTGAATGAAGGGATTCGTAAGAGTTTACCAGAGATGCCATAAGGCTTAATTAGTTAATATTTGCAAAGCACTATGACATCAATCTGGGGGAGCATAGAAATGTAAGGCTGAAAAGGAGCAAGCAGTCATCAAGTCCAATCCCCTGCTACCATCATAATCAACCATATACCCTTAATAAACGAATCAAGAGCCACCTTAAAAGTAGCTTTTAGGACCCAGACTAGTCCTATTGGAAGGCTGTGCCAGAATCTCACAGCTCTTATTCTAATTTTGAGGTTTAAATTTATTCTTAATAGCCATTTGGTTTTGTGCCTACACTGTCCTCTTTTAGCTTAACTATTTTTTTCCTCCCTAGTTATTACTCCCCTGCTATACTTATAGAACACACGTACATATCCTTTCAGCCTTTGTTCTGCTTATCTAAACAAAACAAGCCCTTTTAGTCTCTTCTTGCAAGATAGGCCGACTGTGTTATATAGGTATTACTACATATTCAGCACTTGTATTTCACTGCAGAAACAAAAAAATGTCGGCTGTAATGGAGCTATTTTTGTGTGAATGCAGAATGTAACAAATTCTTTCCTCAAATATACAAGCCTGGCTCTCATCAATTTTAACAGAAATCAAGTTTATGTATCCCAGATATTATGTATCCCAATCCCCCCATATTACTAAGTATACTGTTTTCTATTATGTGCGAGCTCATTGACTGAATTGGAATTACTTATGAAAGCAGTGTTTGTAGCATTCCTGAACAGGAATTGGGTATGGAGAAAGAACCAGGAGCTGCAAGACTGATGATCAGGAGATCTGAATTCCACTTCACTGATCTTGGCCCCAGCTCCCCTTGAGTCCTGAGCGATGGGCCAGGTCTCTTCCAGGGTCTAGGCTGGTGACCCCCTAGCAGTGGGGAACAACTGGTGCTCAACACAGGAGAAAAGCGCCCCTCCCCATGGCTGGTGCTCCCTGTGGCAGCTGTCCGGAGCCCACATGGAGCTGCCTGTGCCTACTCTCTGCTCTGTGATGCAGCGGAGAGGCAGGACAGCCCTGTGTGGGGTCTGGGCAGCTACAGCTGGAAGTGCCAACCACAGGGAGTGGGGGTGCGTTTTTACCCTGCGCTGAGCACCAATTTGTTCCCTGCCACTGCTGCTCAGCCCGGATAAGTGAGTGCAGGGCATGTGGGGTCTGGGCTGCTCGTGCTCATCCCCACCTGTACTGCGGGGCTGAGGCAGGTAGGACTGGGAGTAAGCGGGTGAATGGAAGCCAGTGGCAGCCAGACAGGAGCGCAGGGCCCATGCTGGAGGGGCCCAGAGCGGGGCAGCAGGAGCGTGGGGTCACAGCCAGCAGGGGCTCTATGGAGTTGGGCCAGCTCCCCTCTTTCTCTGCTGGCGCAGCCCAGCTCAGCTCCATAGACCTCTGCCAGCCCGTGTCCTGCTCTTCTGCCGCCCCACTCTGGGCCCTGGTAGTGCTGGCCCCGGGACACCAGCACAGGCCCTGCACTCCTGCATGCTGCTTGCTTCCACCCCCACTACCCCTGCCGTCACTTTCCCTACTTTCCTGCCCCTTCCCCCTGATCTTACCATGGTCCCAGGCCAGAAGGCCCTGATAGGCAGGGGCTTCTGGTTGGGGGGAGGGGCAAGGTGGACCTTGCTATTGCAGGAGCCTGCCATGGCTTCACCTGGGTCCTAGTGCCCCTGGCTCCTATCGTCTTTGACAGGCAGCAGAGGGCAGATTAATATTAATTTTATAAATGTTTTAGGGGCCCCACAACCTGGATAGAATGGCCTGGTGGGCTGGATTCAGCCCACAAGCCGTATTTTGCCCAGCCCTGTACTAGAGATACACTGTAAAAGTTGAGATTCAGACAGGTTGCAGCTATATTTGTAACAGTTTTCATGGTATTGGCCACTAAAATTGGACTATTACTGAACTGGAATGGAATCAGAAAAATATGTTTTGAAGTACTGTTCCAATTCACATTGTCTTCAGCATTAGAAAAATATCAATTTCATTAGAAAGATGAGACAATCATCTTCACCATCACTGGTGAAGGATCATCAGATTAGTAAAAATTATGGACTATTGAAGATGCTTAAGTAGAGAGTTAACAGCACATTCAGTTACTCAAAAACACTTTTACTCATCTGGTCATGATTAGCCAAAAAGTAGACTTGCTTCCCCTACTGCTGCTGATTGACACATGACTGGTACCTGAAGATTTACATGTAACAAGGTTTTGGTTTTGTGCATACAATTTAAAACAGTGATAGATCATTCACTTGTTTCTTGTTAATTAAAAATCTGCACCCTACTTCTAAAAGTAGTTATTTCCCTATACCAGTCCTTATAGAGGTCCAAAGGATGGCAGAACCACGTAAGTATATTCCTAGTTGCTTGGTCGACATGATGCAAGCACTTTGCACACGTGTCCATATCATCTGGAGAAGCGCAGGCTCAGGGGTGACTTGGTGGCAGCCTATAAATACATAAGGGGGATGCATCAGGATCTGGGGGAACACCTGTTCACCAGAGCACCCCAGGGGATGACAAGGTCCAACAGTCACAAACTCCTGCAAGACCATTTTTAGCTGGACATAAAGAAAAACTTCTTTACTGTCCAAGTCCGCAAGGCCTGGAACAAACTCCCCCTGGAGGTAGAGCCAATTGCAGATATTATTACATACATGATAGAGATGGTTTATTTGGTGGGACTCCTTTCTGTAAAACCAAAGCTCTCATACAGTACCAGGAGCCTTGGTGCTCCAAGTATCATATGAGTGCCATTGTTGCATTCCAAGTACAATCTCAAACTAATGTCCTAAGCACTTGTGGTTTAAAAGAATAAACAAATGGCATATTTTCTAGCACAAAACAGAATTAGCCTCTGTGTCCCAGCTAAAATCTTGCAAATAACAGTCTTACAGAATATATTCTTGTGGTAAAAGCTTAACGTATTCTCCATGCATTAGTTGCCTCAGCCTATTTATTGCTACAATACTTTAGCTTCTTTTGGTCTGACATTTCATTATTAAAGACATCCTTCTTGATTTCCTGGGAATTCAAGCTAAATCATTTTTATTTTGCCTTCTCTCCATATTGGCAGTTGGCCAAACAAAATTTATTCTCAAAACACAAACTAATATCTTCTTCTCCATTAAATATCATCCTTTGGGTATTGTGTAGCTTAGGCAACCACTTCACATTGTAGTGTCCTATAAAGGGGCATTTATATCTAAAAATAAGTTTTCAGTTAAAACAGTGGAGATCTTTTCCAGTGTTGGCATGACAATGTCCTCCAACTTTTACCAAGGTGATTCATAACCTATACTACTGGGTTTTTATATAATCAGATTTTCCTTTTAAGCAGTGATTTGATTAATATTATATTTTTCATTTTGTCCATCAATAAGTCAGGAAAAAAGTGGCTGTACTAAAGATAAATAAGTATGCAAATAGTTATTTGTCCTCTAATACTATGAAGTCAATACTGATTTGCTATATAATAATCAAATCAATCAATGACAAAGCTGACATTTCAAAACCGTAGGACAATCACTTTCTAAGTTTACTTAAGAGGTTATCTCCCCTGAAACCAGCCCAATGCTGCGATGGTCTGTAGGGGCTAAAAGGTGAAAGATCTTTTTGTTTTCGTGTCACACAGCAGGAGCCTCTGTGACTAATTCTCTCCCATTTCACTGGGTGGTAGGAACAGACAGCAGGATGTCCATTGTGCTAAATCCTCTGGTCCACATTTACCTATATTCATGTGTTTTTAGTTTGCAGTGAACATTAAAATCAGCTAGTTAGTCCTCCCATATAACAGCAAGTTTCACCCAATGATTTCTGCCTTCAGCCTAATATATTGGACTAGAGATGATTTTTTTTAGAATGGCCTCTGATCTTGATTTAAAAAGACCTTGAGTGTTGGAGGTATATCACAATTCAATTGCTGTCACTGAAAAAGTTGCACCTTATTTTTAGTTTGAAATTTTCTAGCTTCAACTTCTACTCACTGAATCTTGTTATCCCTTTGTCTGCAGGATTAGCAAAATCCTCAGGAAGCGATTACCTTTTTCTTCTGCAATTATTGATACAAAGTGATCACACAATGCCTCCAACCTCCTCCCTCTTTAATCTAAATAGATTAAACTCCCTCCATGTTTCACCATAAGCAGGTTTTCCAAATCCATTGATTTTTGTAGGTCTTTTCTGTCCCTGCTCTACTTTTTCAGTACACACTTTTCCTTCCTTTTTTTTCTATAGCATAGGCACAATGTTCTCTACTTTTTCAATACACATTTTCCCTTCCTTTTTCTTTCAATAGCACAGGCACAATGTTCCACCGTGTCCAGTCCCACTTTAAATCTACTCTTTAGGCAGCAATAAGGAAACCTAAAATGAGCATTGAATTTTACTGAATTATTACTAGGTTTACAAGAAAATCTCTTTGGGGGTAATCCTGATCTTACTGAAATCAAAGGGGTGTGGGGGGTTTACTTCCAAACAACCACAATTTCACCTTCTTAAACGACTCTGTAAGTCACCACTTT